TTGGCTTCTTTCTGCTTTCATTGTAGCATGTTCTGTGCTTCATTTCTGATTCAGCTGTCTGCTGCCAAACTCCACTGTGCTGTACAGAGCCCTCTGACCAGTGCTGCCTGGATCGGGCTATCTTTGTGTCACAGGCAGCTTCTTTTCTTTTTCTCTCTTGTTTTCAGAACAATGAACTTAGTACCAATTAAACTCTCTGGTATTTCGGGTGAACTGAAGTATGGAATTCATTCTGTTTCTGCATGAAATGATGGAATGATTTTTAAATGTTGTATATTCCTCCTTTGAGACACACTGGACCTAGAAATGCACTCGGAAATAGAGCACATCTACTACAACTATTATTGATCAGTGTCCCTTGGCTGGCATCCAGATAAAAATTTCTTAATTGTTGCAGCAAAGTGTGGGTGTGGAAGGGTGTGTGTACAGCAAGGGTTCTGCTTGTCAGAATAGGTGGACAGTACGAGCAGTACAAAGATAGCTGTGAGAAGGTTCTTTAGTAAGAAGCAGGCAGTCTGAGACCCTGCCACGTGCACAGAGGGGCTGCTGGGAGAGCTCATCCCTGTCTCAGCTTCAGCTCTCAGCCACAGCTCTTCCAGGGAAAGGAGCAAGTGTTGCTGGGAGGATGTCTTCAAAAATGCCTGTTCAGCTTCCTGTGTATATAAACACCAAAGTCTCTGGCCCATTGTCTTTGTTCCCAGCTAGATCTTTAAACACTGTGCTTTTTACACCTGCTGAACTGAGGTGGGAGAGGGGGTGGTCAGAACACTCCAGCTTCCAGCTTCATCTGCATCACTCAGCACAGCAGCTGATGGACCTCTCCAAGGGCCAAGTGGCAGACACAGCAGTAGTCTTGGAAATACTGGTTTTAATGCTCAGAGAAAAATGTGTCTCTGGGGCTTGTATTTTCAAGTTTCTCTTAATCATCAAAAAACCCCAACCCTAAATCTCTCCGTGTCTCCTCTTGCCTTTCAGATGGCAGGGGGAGCACAGAGGGGGCACTGCCACATGACTGCTCTGAAACAGTGCAAATTAAGTACCATCTATCTAATTACTTTGAAATCTCTTCCTCCTGAAGATAATTTTGGTGTGTGGCACAGAGAGTAGCACCAGCTCACCTGTCCTAGGGGTGATAAATGCCAGCTCTGTTCTGCAGATGTAAATGTGGCATTCAGAATTGCATATTATTAAGATGACTCTTCGATGATAATGAGAAGTTTATCTAAGGCACGAACAAATTTCTCATCAGATTCTCCCTCCATTTTCTGGAGTCTTTAATACCAACAGATTGGATTCTTAGCCTGATGGGTTTCTATGCTGGTAGTTATTTACTTTTGTTTAACATTTACTTAGTGCCTCTCTGGTTTGTTTCCCCAGGGAAAGCATATATTTTAACATCCTCACAAATCCTCTTTCACTAGTCCTGGCTACCGACTGGACTCTTGAGAATTTGAGGAAGAATCCAGATTCCTTTTTCCAGCTAAAGACTGGGGATTGAAAATCACTGGAATGAGATTTGTGCTTTACTGTTTTACATTAAATCAGTCATACATTTGGGTTCCTTCCTGTGTACTTTGAGTCACATGGGCAGTAATTCAGTGGTTTACTCCTAGAGTTGTTCTTCAGAGTGTGTTGTATTTACAGTAAACACACTGTGAAGGTTGTTACTGCCCTTTGCAGTGTGACATAAGACAGACAATATTGTTTTTAAAATACATTTTTCATTTCATAAACTCTTGGAATAGCAGGGGAAGTCAGGGAAGGCAGCAGAGGCTGCTCTGGGTATGAAGAGACAAGGCAAGGGAAGCAGAGTGTACAGAGCACCAGGGGTGAGTGGCAGGTCTCATTTGTCACTGGCTTGTGTAAAAATAGTTTGGGTAGTTTCTCCTCGTCATCCCCACCCATTTGGACAGGCAGTCAACTTTATTTTCATTTTTGAATGGATTTTACCCATCATCAGTGCTTTGAAGGCCCTGCAGAGTTCCTTCTTCCAGTTGTTCAGACTTTAAAAGTACCTTTGACTTCAGTCTGTGGAGGTTTTAGATACTGAATTGCCCCAGCAAGTGACTCACTGAGATCATTTAATTCTGAAATCTGTGTGCCCCTGCAGCTGCTGCAGGGCAGCCTGGCCCCTCAGTGACAGAGTTAACAGCACCTCAGCTGGGCTCTGGGCTCTCTTTGTGTTCAGTGTCTGGTGTGAAACGCTCCATCCACTGACGAGCTGCTTCTCTTCTGATGTGCAGCAAGACTTGTCCAGAAAAGTTCAGTGAAAAGCAAACCCCTCTACTTTGTCCAAGTCTGGATGCCATCTGCTGCATCTCTGTTGCCTGAGTTTCCAGGAGTTGGTGGCCTGGGTGAGGCTGTGCATTCCTTCTGTGGGGTGTGCCCTGTGTGAGCGCCTGCACATCCCCTGTGAACCATTGGTTGCCTCTGGTGATTTCCCTCACTCTGGGGAGGAGGATGTTTAGAAACCTTGCTCTGACAGTTTGCTTTGGAAGGTGGTTTAGTTCCATCTTTCATTCCATCACATGTAACAGATCTGTAGGATGCACCAAGAACAATGCCAGTGCAGATGCAGGCTGATTTTTCTGGCTGTGGTCAGTGGGTGCAGTACCAGCTTGGCTGTTCCACTGCAGTTTCTGTCCCCTTTGATGACAGTGCCCTCTGGCCCATGTCATCCCTGTGTCTCCATGCTGCAGCCCCTCCTGATGGCAATCTGAAATGTGAATCTGACTGATGACTACCAAGTGCTGTCTCCCAAGGATAGGATAGAGTCCTTACACACAAGGAAATGGGGTTGTTCTTCCGTGGTGGATGAGTCCCCTGGGCTGCAGGAACGTCATTACCCCAGGAGGGAGGACTGACACAATCCCAGGGGTTGGGTGTTTACAGAGCAGATGTTTCTGCATGAGATGCTCTCCTCAGGATACGTTTTCTGAAGTGTTAGTTACAACATCAGAACTGCAAAGTTTGATGTCTGCGTTTGGCCATAGCTTTAATTAGCTCTTAACTTGATCCTGCAGAGTTTTCATGCTTACTTACGTGTGATATATGTGGAAATTTTTTCTTGAGGCATTAATTTTCAGTAAATTTTTCTGCAGTTAAAGAGACAGTAAGTGATATCAGCAAGCCACACTCTTGCTGATGCACTTTTATAATATCTTTTTCAATTATAACCATATCACTGCTTACCTTAATATTAATCCCAATACAGATCAGTAAACAAGAAGGCAGGGTACAGAATACTGTGGTGCTGTTGATAACCAAAGTAGTAAACAAATGTGCTGCAAGTGTGGTGGCACAAACAGACCATAGAAAAATCTCCTGTGACTGGGCTGTGGGGCAAGAAAGGTGTGAAAGTTGGCCTTTTTTTTTCCTAAATTTGATTTCTTTTTTAAAGTCTGCAAGTGTTGCTTATGAACTTTAACTCTCTATTTCTTAAGACTTAATGAGGCAATAAAAAGTGTGATCCAGAGCTCCAGATAAGACCAGTTATAGTGCATTTCTGTCACCCTGAAGCTTAAGAAGTAATGTTCTGTGTTAGCAGATGTGCTTGGAGGTGGAGCTGCTATCATTTATTGTTATAACTCCTGAAAGGTATCACAGAGAATTTGAATTCTAATTCCAGTTTCATAAAGACTTGACATTAAAATTCACAGTTGTGTTTTTCATACAAAGGGATTAGTGCAGCTTGAGATGGGAAAACAGCATGTAGAATTCTCTTCCACATATCCTGTGGAATGATTTTAATATCCACTTTACCTGCCTTTATCAGCCATTGCTGGAGGTGAGGCTGTGTGTTAGGATGTGGGGAAAGGATTCATTTATCTGTGCAGTTCATTTGTGTTCTTAATTGAAAGTTAATGTGCTGTTACAGCAAGCAGCTCACAATTAAGTGCCTTCAGCTTTTGCGAGGTCTCTGAGAAGATGTGGGGTTTCCTGCTCTCCAGTTAACACAGCAGCCTGCCTGGCTGACCAGGGACACGGGAGGGGACCAGGATTGATTTGGTAATTGCTTGGAGATTGGCAGTCCCTCTAGTTTGTTAAAAAGAAGAATTGGCTGCCCAGTCCTAATAGCAGAAGGTAATGATGTTGTCCTGAGCTGTTGGGAACAAGCCTTGCCCAGGTGTGTGGGATTGAGGGGCCCTGAGAGGTTGTCTGTGTTACCATCCAAGTTACTGCTTTCCAGCTTTGAGAAGACCCTTCCATGTAGGTTTGTTCAGCAGGCACTCTTAAGAGCTTCATTTTTTCCCCCCAAGAAAAAAAAAAGAACTGGACTTGAATTTTATTTATTTACTGGGTAGTGCCAGGTTGATGCCTATGCAAGGCTGGGGCTTTGGTGTGTAGTGCTGCATGATTGCTGGACAGGTGAGGCCAAGGCATAGGTCCCCTCTGAGCGTTTCTGCAGTCACTGATGTGTGCCACTTTAACAGCTCCCAGTAGCCATTCACTCTGTCTTGCATCTTCCACCTGTGCCGTTCTCCTGTGCAACATTTTGAGAGATTCAAAGCCACATGAAATGTCACCTGTACGTACTCGGTGTGACTGAGCCAGGCTCTGCTGAATGTGCTGTACACGGCCTTTTCGGTGTCTGTGGCCATGAGTATTGCTGAGCAGTCTTGTGACTTTGCTTGTTTTCCTAAAGTAGCAAAAGTATTTTTCAGATCAGAAGTACTGGCTTCGAAACTAAATTTTTGGTTTGTATATTGGCTCTGAAAACTCGGACCTGGTTTAAGGTGTATCACTGGACTCACCAGGCAAGCAGAGAAATGTGTTTGTAGGCACCTCTGTGATTGTGTTCCCCTTTGTGTTCAGGTTCAGGGAGTTGCAGGTGTGCATTGCCCATATTTTACTGAGATTTAGTAGGTTTGTCAGTCTATTTTGCCTCCTAATTGTTCATCCAAGGTGAGGAGATCGTAATAATTGTAGTATAAATCAATGCACCTTCAGCTTTATGGTGAAGGTTACAGGGCTAAACTCTTTTAACTCTCTCCTGTTAGGAATGTGAGTTCAGATGGAGCAGAAGCTCGCAGGAGACTGAGGGAGTGTGATGGCTTGGTGGACGCCCTCCTTCACGCTTTACAGTCTGCGGTTGGCAAGAAGGACACAGACAATAAGGTGAGCTTGAATATGAAAACTTGGTGGGCATTTCCCTTAATTTAGGTGGCAGTGTTGCACTGGGATCCAGCTTCTCTTTGCTAGCATCAGAAGAGGATTATGCTTGCCTCAGTATTGTCCTCCTGCCCCTCTGGCATCCGTGGTGCTGCGATGGGGCACCAGCAGCACGTTCTGTGTTCCCTGCCATGCTGGTGAGGTGAGCAAAGCCTGGTGGCTGAGAGATGGGGGGAACAGTCCTTTGTTGTCAGGGACATTGTTGCTGTTGTTCTGCGTTACTTAATTGGCATTTATAAGTGCAGTCTCCAAATCAGAATTGAGTCCCGTTTGCACAAAGCAGCAAAGGAGTCAGTTCCCATTTTAAAGACTTGATTCAGCACCGCCTCTAAAGACTGCAGTGCACAGAAATGCCTTCAGACCTGCAGCACTTTCCCTGTAGCTGTGTTTTGGTGCAGATTTTATTAACCTGGTTTTAACATCGTCTCATCCCATGGCACTTAAAAGTGTATTTGTATGCAGAAGGAATATCGTAAGTTTAACCTGTTTAAAAAAGAGCACACTGTTGCTTTATAAGGCCTGTAAAGCATCATTATTTTATTCTTTTTGAGTCCCACCATGTGATGGCCTGTACAGGAGAGCTATAAAGCCCTGTCACTTAATCAGGTAATTTTGGAAGTGGATTTTGTAACCACCTGGTGGTTTCCTTTACTGCCTACAGAGATCTGCTCTTGTCAGAGCCCGATGAGCTGTGGATTAGCTATTTCTACAGGACAACGTGTGTTCTCACTGAAATCCCCACAAGGCCTAGGTTTTGACCCAGAGAAAATCTAATAAAGTGGCCCCCTTGGGGATTGTAAATGTTGGAAGAATGAGAGAGAGGCTTGTATTAAAATAAGATCCTTATATGATCTTTTTCTGCTGCGTGTTTGATCTTTGGTGAATTGCATTCTTTGTTAAGATCAAGTGGTATTTTTGATTAGAGAGTTTTCATTTTGAATGGGTGCTATTTATGAAGTACTTCACTTTTCAAAGAAAAAAATTGGGTTTAGAACAAGAAGGAACTTTAATTTAAGGGTCTTGTCTAAGTCTTCCTCGAAAGCCACGTTCTTTTCCTGGGACAGGTGGGGGTTTTTTATATTTCCTCCAAACTGCTCCACTGTACAGTATAATGGCTTGTAAGTAAGAGGGTGCAGAACCCTTGTAACATGGATTTCTCTGTGGCAGTCTGTGGAGAACTGCGTGTGCATCATGAGGAACCTTTCCTATCACGTCCACAAAGAGGTCCCCGGAGCTGATAAGTACCAAGAACTTGATGCTGGGCAGAGCACAGGCACAGGAGGCTCTCAGAAGAAGAAGAAAGATGATGCTGGTTGTTTTGGTGGAAAAAAAGCTAAAGGTACGTGTTGCAGAGAGCTCAGAGCTGGTAGTGGGTGTGGGGGTAAACGCTGCAGTGCTGCTCTCGCTGCGCATTCATCACGCTGGTTGGGAGTGCTGCAGTGTGTGCAGGTACATGTTTGCAGTACCATGGCATGTGTTTGTCCCCTGTGTTGCATCACTGCTAAATATTTGGGATTATTGTTCCACCATTGATGTGGTTTTGTTTGGTTTTAAATAGGAGTGGTGCATGCTGACAGGTGACACTCTGCTGTTGGAGAAAGGTGGATGTGCTCTGCCTCCCCTCTGCCTTCCTGTGTTCTTACATCTGTCAGATCTGTGCTTAGTCCACTTGCTTGGCTGTACTGCTTGTGTCCCAGGCTCAGGAAGCCAGGCCAGCATGCATCCATCCATCCCTGTGCATGGCATGCCTGGCTGGACATCTTCCATGCCTCCAGTCTCTCATATTTGAAAACAAACAAAAACCTACCCTCCCACTCAGCCAAAATGTAAACCTCCTAATTCAGTCGCTCTGTCAGTAATTTAAATTGCAAACATGATTTTGTAGCTTTTAATTGTCATTCACTTTTAGACCTGTTCTCTCCTCTGGGGCGTGAGCGTTGCAAATGAGTTTCATTATAAGAGAGGATTAATAGTCTCAGTAAACCCCCTTCAATGTTTCCTTCACAAAGAGACACTCAAATTATATCCGTTTTCTTTGTTGTTTTAGAGAAACTGCTATTCTAGACTGAACTCTGTGTTCTTTGTTGTTTTAGAGAAATGACTATTCTAGATGAATTCAGAGATAAATTAATTCTGTTTTCTATCTCAGCTTCATTCTCCTCATTCATGTGTACACACATCCTGGCTTTTTGTTTATAGCCAGGTATAAGAAGGAGTTTTGGCCCTAAAGAGCCGACCTGGGATTGTTTGACCTGGCCAGACTGTGCTGTGGCCAGACACACCCCACTCTTGTGTGATCTGACCTGTGTGTGCTGGTAAAATGCTGCATGTTTATGTGTGTTAGGGAGGTCATCACACTGGGAACCTGCTTTTGCAGACTAGTCTGTCATCAGTTAGATTTAATCTGCTGCTTAGAAAAAAAATAAAAATGATGGGAATCTTTGAATGACTGGGGTAAGAACCAAAGAAATGGCACTGCCTGGCTGGCAGCTGTCCCAGCGAGTGACTGAACCCCAGCTGTACCCTCTGGAAACCCTGCTCGTGCTGGGGCCCAGCCTGTCCTGCCACCTGCAGGCCCTGGGGTTTGGCTGCTCCAGAGCATCAGTCAGTGGGAAGAGTTTCAGACCCAGGAGCTGGGTGTGCCCTGTGGGAGGAGGGAGTGTCCCTGTCCCCTCGATGGCACTGCAGAGCAGCTCTCAGGTGACTGTCCTGACTCAGTGTCTGCCGCCCCTGGGCCGACCTGGACGTACCCCCTGGGTGTCTGCAGGCCCAGGGACTCTCTGGTCAGCATCTGAAGCATCAAGTCATGTCTTTTTGGACAAATTGGTCTCAAAATCATCTGATGCTGAGGATGAGCCTGGGGATTGCAGTGGGCAGTGCAGGCACTCAGTGACAGCCTGGGTTTGTCTCAGTGCGTTCAGCAGGAAATTACAGTTTCCAAGGAATATTTTAATGTTTTCTCTCCCTTTTTGCAGTGCTGTTTTTAAAATGAGCTGTTCCCCAGAGGGAAGTCAACTGGTGATAATGCTGAGCTCGCAGCTGGTAGGATGTAGGTCAGAAGGGTAGAGGGTAACAGATGACCGTTGTGTTTACAAAGTAAAAATTAAAATCCATTCATAAATGCACTTTTAAAATCGTAAAGAGCAGCTCCGTTGTCTTGCTGTTAAATGTATGTGAGTGCTGGTCTGAACCTGCCTTTATTTTCTCAGTCTAGGACTAAAATAGATCAGTTCTCTCCCTTCTTGTTCACTTAATCTGGCAGTGTTTCCATGTTTATTTTATTTCATGGCCATTGATCACAGCATTTCAAACACCTTTGCAAAGGGCTAGTCATCCTTCCGTCCCCTCGATTCTGAGAGCACCTTTTCATTTACTGAAAAGAGAAAGAAAGAAAAAAAAAGGTGCAGAAAAAGATTGGGGTTTTTCAGCAGGAACAAAAGGGAGAAAGTGGAATATCTTGTTTTGATTTGAGTTTTTTAATTGATGAAACTTCTATGGTATTCTTGTACCTATTTTGAACTCAGCTTTTGAACCTATTCTGTGAAATTCTGCCGCTTTGTGACTGTTCCTTTGTATTTTCTTCATCCTGTAAATTTTTGTTTTCCTTTTGCTGCTTTTCTGGTAATTAGAGGAGTGGTTCAATCAAGGTGAGTCTGCAATACTTTCTTTCATCATCGCCATAATATGCTTTGTTCAGCTTTCACATGCAAGGCTAAGAGCTGAGATGAAGGTCTTGTTCATCCACCTTCCCCTCTGCTCCCCCAGCACATCCTCCTGTTCACTTCAGCAGGCAGAGAAGTCCTGAGGGAGCTCTGGCAGCTTGGTCTTTCCACACCAGGAACAGAAATCACAAGTTTTACTCACTGCTGGTGTGCAGCTGGGCTGCCAACCCCACACGGGAGGGAGCAGCCCAGGGAGTGCCTCCCTTCAGCAGCCCTGGCACATCCAGGGTGGCTCTGCTGGCTGCTCTGGGCACCCCTGGCACATCCAGGGTGGCTCTGCTGGCTGCTCTGGGCACCCCTGGCACATCCAGGGCAGCTCTGCTGGCTGCTCTGGGCACCCCTGGCACATCCAGGGTGGCTCTGCTGGCTCTCTGGGCACCCCTGGCACATCCAGGGCAGCTCTGCTGGCTGCTCTGGGCACCCCTGGCACATCCAGGGTGGCTCTACTGGCTGCTCTGGGCAGGGGCAGCCCCGAGGCTCAGCAGTTGGGATGAGTGTTCTCCAGGCTCCCTGGGGTTTTGTCTGCTTGGGCACTGCCCGGGCTGCTGCAGCTTTGTTTCTTGGAAGCAGAGGAGGAGGGTGCAGCTGCTCCTCAGTAACTGCCTTGGGGGGACACCCTTTAGTTTCTCATCCCAGCACAAGAAAAGTGCAGCTGGAGTACACAGGTCTCGAGGCTAGAGCTTCACTACCTCCTCAGCTGGGAAGTTGACAGGCTGTGAGTGCCCTGGAGATGTCACTGGGATTGGTTTGGGGGTGAAGGCAGGGGCGTTGTCAGCTTGTGACACTTGCTTCAGATCATGGGTTCTGGAGGGTTGAGCCAAAGGAGAACGATGGAGAGGAAAAAACCAAACAAAATAATTGCTCCACCCAACAAATGGTGCTTGGTACTGCTCTGTGAGACACTGATTTCAAACTGTGACGGGTGAGCTTGTGGAGAAGGAGCTTGTTGGCAACACAGAGCTCAGCCCGTGCCTTCTGTCTCTCTGCCAGTCAGTTCAGTGGGTGTATTAACAAGCACAGTATTGACTGGGGGGGTAAAGGAGGTGTTAAGAAGAATCGTTTTCCCTTAGAACTTTTATTTTAACCAGAAAGAAAGCATTTGGGAATCAATCCTTCAGCTAAAGCAGTCTGGCTGCATAGCTGGTTTGATTATCCTGTAAAGCCAAAGGACAGCTGAGGACGATCGGCAGCACATTCAGTGGTTAATAACACTGGGTCACACTTCAGAGTCTGGCTCAGGTTCTGACAGATTGGAAATGCCGAAGGTCGTGGTTTGGTTGTTTCTTACATAATGACAAGTAGCGAGGGGGGAGAGGGGAAGAATTTTAATCCCACTGTTTCAGAGTCTGGAAATTGCATCTTGCACAAGCAAGTCTCATGCCAGGCAATTTTCCCAAACCAGAGTGCTGTGCCAGTTCCTGCAGCCAGGTCTCATAAAACAGACCTGTCAGGCATGTTCAGAGCTCTGTGTGTCTCTTGGCAAAGTCTGGAGCTGTGCTTCTGATCCAACAGCATCGGCTTTTCTCTGGCACACCTTGGGCTGGAGACCTTGGAGAACCTGCAGATGCATCGAGGGGTAGAAATTGCAGTGTCCACAACCAGGATCTTAAACGTCCTCGTGCTGCCCACTGCGACCGTTGAGCGTCCCTGAGGGGATGCACACCCTGCACGGGCGGGTGGCAGCCACGTGGGCTGTGTGTGTGCCCACACCCCTGCTGGGAACACGTGCAGGGGCATTGCCAGCAGGCCTGGGGGGCAGAGCAGCCTGTTCAGAGCTGCAGAGTCTGGCGGTGAAGCTGGTCTGGTGCTGTCAGGCACGGGGATGGCTGACAGGTTTGGAGTCAGTAGACTCTTGAACTTGCTAAATTTGGTCACCTTTTTAGAAACTCCAGTATTTGTGGTCCCTGTGAAAATCAAATGGGAGAAGTGCCAGCTGGGCTGCAGACTGAAACCTTTGCCTTTCTGGGTGGATTTGTTTTGGAGTCTTCTTACAGCTTGGTCACCTTCTGTCTGTACGAAAGCTCTGGAAAATGAAGGTGTCTGGGGTATCTCTGAGCCCAGACCTTACTCCATTCGATGAAGCAAGTGAAGTTGAAATGCCCTGGGTCAGAGCTCTGTGTTCTGAACTGGGGTAAACAGCTTCTGGTTGAACAGACGGGTGAGTTTCTGAGCGGGCTGAGAGACAAACAGCGAGCGATGGGGGAGGCCGGGCCGTGTTCACAGCCTGGCCCAGCAACTGAGGCAGGCACTGAGGAGGGCACAGGTGGAAGGTGCTGTCTTAATGAAAGATGGGTTAGTAAATGGGCAGCTGCTTTGGCATTGCCAGCTCCAAAGATGTAGCAGCCAACACTGCACTCCTGGACAACCTGTTCCTTAACAGGTTGTGCACAGACACACAGTCCCCACTAAACACTGCCACGGGGAAGAAGGGAATTCTTGCTGTGCCATCTCAGCTCTGCAGGGCTGATACAAGTGCCAGACCCAGCCCTTAAATTACAGAGAGAACTTGTGCAACGAGTGCTTGTGTTGAGTAAGCTCTGGCTGGCTGAGTACATGTTCTGAAGTTTAAACTATCTAGTACCAGAGACATGAAATTTGGGGTCATGTGAAAAAACAGTTTGTCCTACTTGAAGATAAGATGGAGTCACATTTATTGGTCTGCCTTAAGTCTGTAATCTTTCCTAAACACTGACTTCCTTCCTTCATTTTTTTTTTTTTTTTTTTTTAATTCCCTCTGCTCTGCTTTTTCCTGTCAGTGCTCTAAGGGTCAACAGGAGTTTGCAGCCAGTAACTGGGTTCAGCTGCCATAATGAAATGCAACATCCTTTGGTGATGTGCACCATCCTTTCTCTCTGGTATTTGGTTCCCCAAGCAACATGTTCCTCATTCTTTCATGGAGCAAAAACTTGATGGAAGGCTGCAAAGTGCCTCTGATTCCTGTCCCTTCCTTCACAAAAGGCAGCTTTCAGAGGAGTGGCACATGGCACCTGGCTGCATGACCTTTTGGCACCTTAGATGAGCTTTGACATGCTTTCATTAAGGGAATTACTGCAGATGAGCAGAACTTCTAGATGCATGTTTTGGTTTGCACAGTAGTTACGTTGGCTGGTGTTGTGCTAGCATTTCAGAACCAAAGCCTGTGATTCCATCCCTTCCCAAAGAAAGTGATGTAGATGGAATACTACCTTGAGGGTTTTTTTCCTCCTGATGTTATTTCTAAATATTCATATTGGTATTTAAGAGCTCTAATTCTCCTCTCTACTGTACCCTGTGTGTTTATCCTTTTGTCAGGAGCGACCCATTCACTGTGCATGTACCAGCCACCCCCCTGCTATGGCAAGGCAGGGACTGTCCTTTCCCACCTTGTGACCTCCTGCCAGGCAAGAAGCAGACTGATCTCCTTACATTTTTTAGGATCGTTTTCCTGTTTGCTTTTAGGCTTTCAGGCCTTTCTGTAACCCCCCCATTAACAGCCTGGTACCGTCCCTGTGCAGGAGCCACTTCTGGCTGCTTAAAACTGTGTTGTCTGAATTCATCCCATTGCACCTGCCTTCCCTGCTCTTGGGGGGGAGGGACTAAATACCTTGATTTTCCCCCCCTCAGAATGATTTGGGAAAGCTGAATTGTGCAGTGCTGTGTTCAGAAGCCATTCAGGTTCCTGCAGTGCCCTCCAGATCTCTGTCTCTGCTGCCAGTGCTCCTCTGATGGCCAGGTGCTTATCCCACAGCAGCCGTGAGGGCTTACCCAGGGCACTGTGTGTCCTTGGGGGACAGGAAGAGATGAAAACTCACCCTTCCCTCCCCAGCTGTTTACCTGACCTTGCATTCTCAGCCCAGCTGACACTGAAGTCCTGCTTTTGTTCTACTTTCTGTGAAGGATTGTATAAATTAAAGCTGATGTAATAGTTTAAAGCTGTTTCTTAGCAAAAGTATGGAATATTTCCATTAGTTTCTAATAAATAGTAAAAATGACACTTTTATTGATTGAAGGGCAGTTCAAGGTTAAGTTGTTGGCTGCTGTCTGTACAATATATTAAATCTTGCTGCCTGGGAGTTGCATTGAGAACAGAGGCTGCAAAGCAAGCCTGTTGGTTTTGCTCTGCTGCTGAGTTTTTGCTTCAGCCAGGCTTCTAAATTCCTCTGTGAAAATAGCAAATACTGGGCTGATGGGGGAGAGGCACAGCTTTGCCAAGAAGGGAAATGGCACAAATTTCCAAGATTTTAAGCACTCTTAAGACCCACTGAAGTGCTGGTCCTAAGCTTGTTTGCAGATGAACCTGAAAGTAGCCCAGGTTTTTGTCCCTGAGTTGCTCATACAGAAGCACAGCCGTGCAGTTGGACTGCAAGTCAGAGACAGCTCGGGGTGATGGTCTGTGATTTGTATTCTGGCTCTGTATCTTCTCTCATCTCAGAGATGCACATGACAGTAACTTACCTGTCAGTATGCTGACAGTCTTTTCCATATCTTGTCTTCTGGTTTTTTTGCACAGGAAAGAAGAATGGAGATCTGGACAGGAATTTTGATACACTTGATTTGCCCAAGCGGTCTGAAGCAGCAAAAGGTAATGCTACTGTTGGTGCTTTGGGGAGTAACGAGGAGCCTGGGTGCTGGAGGCTCTTAAAGGGACTTGAGACGTGAGCAGATCAGGCTGATCTCTTTCTTTTGTAGTCAGTTAATAGAAATAATGGATGTGGATGTAATAATGGGTGTGTCAGTGCATGCTGTTACCTGGTATTCTATGCTGGATATAACCAGCTTTTATAGAAAGCTGCTGAATTGGTGGAATCCTGTAGAAGTCTGTCTGGTTTGGTGTCAGGTGACTGTAACTCCAGAGAGGGGGGAGTACATACTCTCTTTCTTTACAGCTCCACTTGCAGCCCCCCTGCAGCAGAGCTGGCTGTGAGGAGTTGTGCAGTGCACTGGGGAGGGTACTGAGCACTCCCAGTTCCCTTCCCTGGCACCTCTGTCATTCCTCACGTCCTGCCGAAGTGGAGAGGGATGGCAGGGAATGAGGGCTTTGCTTCACTGATAGTCTTCCCCTGAACACAATAGTCCTCCCTGTCTGTAGTGAGCAGGACTTGCAGTTTTCCAAGATCAGGAGGTTCACAGAAAAATTCTTCTGCACTGCCCTTTTGTATTCCAGGTCTGGCAGAGGGGAAATCGTTCACAATCTGCATTCCCTGCTTGCATGCATGGTACTTTTTTTAATTGGAGATGAGGAGGTGATTTGGGATCTCGTCAGAATTGTTACAGCATTGGATGGTGTTTGGAGACTTGCACAGGTTTTGATTTGAAGTGTGTGTGCAATGTCACTGCAAAGATTCAGCCATTGCCATGGCAACTGCTGCCGTGCCACCCCGTCAGCTCCCAGGGCACCCTCACCTTCATGAATACCCTCAGCTACCTGAGTGTTCCTCAGAAGACAAATTTTAAACTCTTCCTGCATCACTCCCAGAATTCTGGAGAGTCTAGGGAGACAGTGTGACTCAGGGGAGAGATCCAGGGATGTGGGGTACCTGAATTGTGCTCTTTTTGTGGCCGCGATCAAATCGAGTTCTTTGTGCTCCAGTTGCATTGCTGATAACAAGGGCAACAAAAGAGGCCACATCTGAGATCCTTGGAGATGTGCTGATAGTCAGTGATGGTGTAATAATTACACACATTTAGGGCTTCAATCCACAGTGAAGCTCTGACTGATGATATGCAAGCTAATCCTAATACATAGTGCAGGCTATTCCTGATATGTAGATGGATCTAATCTATTTACAGACTCCCTTTACAGTGGATAGTTTCCAGTCTCATGTCTAAACACTAGTTTTCACTGGTGCATTGTTGCACAAGGTACAGTAAATCAGTGCAAGATTTAAGATACAAATGTACCTCTCAGAGGCTGCAGTGCTCCTGATGGGAGAGCTGCAGGAAGCATCTCCTAACCAACCATCAGTGGAATGCCATCAGTTCAGGGCTGGGGTTGATTACAGTGCAGAGCAAAGAGGTGTCTTAAGGGTGCAGGAAAAGAAAGGAATGCAAAATATAGCAAGGGCTTCAGTGTTTCCATTCCTTTCTAAATGTCATTGGAATGTAGGTGCCACTAAAGGGATAAGATGGAAATCAAGAATTTCTGTGAAGAAGTGCATCTTGCATAACTTTCTATAAAATGAGATACAAATCTTTCAGGAGGCTGTGGTAACGTGGAAGTGATGTGGCAGATCTGATGGGAGCCTTATCTGTCTCTGAGCTTACACAGCTTGTTATCTTTTTCAGTTGGTAGAAATCTCACACTCTTGAGGAGGTTGTTTGATAATTTTGAGATATTCCCATTTAATCTAAGTCAAATAGAGTACATATCTCATGCTAGATAAGGTCAGGAGATTACTCCCCATGCATTTTGAAAGAAACCCTTTGACACAGAAAAAGGCATGAGAAATTATTCACTTGAGTGCCAGGAGTAAAAAACTGAAGTCAGTGATGCATTTTTGTTCACTTTTTTACTGGTAGTTTCCTGGCAGGCATCCAGTTTATATGAGAGTTCCTGGATATTCAGGGTTCTAACAAGGTTGCTTGAACTTTGCATTGTTCAGTAAAATAAGGAAAATAAAACTGAAGTTTTAAAACCTTTCCGAACCCTGGCCTGATCTCTGCCATAGAGCATAATTGGCTCTGATGAGATCAGCTCTCAGCTGAGCAGAGCCTCGTTACTAAGATGGAAAAATCAGGCAAGTTTTAATGATCAAAAGCACTCAGATTGAGTGACACAATGAAGTGCTATTTCAAAAATCAACAATTAGAGATTAATCTCTTTCATGTATTATTAAAGCCGTATTAAGGGGAGTTTTCAGCTGGAATCTTTGTGGGCAAATGAAACTGCAGCGATAGGATTTGGTCATACAATGCAGCAAACGAACATTGTGGTGGTTACAAATATTGGGGTGTAGTGTTAAATGTCCTGTAATCTGATAGTCAGCATCCATGGAGCTTCTCTGGTGGATCTACAGGTGAGGTTCCAAGAACCTGACCTCGTGGTTTCCCTGCAGGATATCCTGAGCATGACCCTGAGCTCAGTTGGGAGTGTTACGCTTATGTTGCTTTACAAACCATGAATTAGCAGTAGCAGACCAGTTCAGACCTATTTTCTACCTTCTCTGGAAACTTTTTGGTCTCCAGATTACTTTAATTGTAGGAATTTCATCCTGTCCTGTAGCCAAGCATCATAAACCCAGAAACTTTTGCAGATTGTGGGTGGGGTCTGGCTCGTGTCTGCATGGAAGGCAGAGGTTTCTCAGTCCTTCTTCAGGGCATCTGTCCTGGTGGTACAACAGCTTAGGAATGTCTTCATGTTCTGACAATCCAGAGGGTCTTGTGAGTTATAACCTAGTTTAAATGCTAGTGTTTTACTTCTTCCCTGGAATTTGTTCATTCTGGAGAGAAATGGATGAATGGAGGCAGTTCTTTTTTTCAGAGTGATGAACTAGAGTCTCCTCCTGATGGCTCCTGGTTTTTTAATGGGAATCAGATTTTGCTGCAGCACATCATTTGAGCAGCCCTGAAACCATTTCTAAGCCTTTAATAATTTTATGTGCTAGGCATTCTGGCAGGGGAAAGCTTCCAGTTCAGGGTTGTTATCTGTGGTAAACTGGTTAATGTCAGATGGGAGAACTTGCAGTGCTTTCAGAAGCTGTCTCATCTGATATTAAAAAGTAAATGTATGTGCTCTGGCAGTGTCCAGAGTGCTGTCCTGATGAGGAAAGATTGTGGAAGAGAAGCTTCTTGTTTCCTCTTTGTTGAAAGGAACATATTTTTTTGCTGGCAGTCAAAGAGAGAGAGGATGAATTTCGGGGGGAAGTGATAAGAGCTTGCATAGAGGAGGGAGCAGCACTGACAAATTATGAATGCTGTCCTCAGAATCTTGATAAATTTAGGACATTCAGAAACTACTGCTTCTGAGGGGAGGGGGGAAGGTCTTGCTGAAATCCCTTCCCCAGTATAAAGTAGGTCAGTGGTGGTGGTGCTGGCTGCCTGCTCTGCACCACCACGGGCCAGGCTGATTCCTCCTGTGGACACACTGAGCACATGGCACAGTGCCACTCCTCTGCCCTGCTCAGAGCCCTGCTCCAGGGCACAGCAGGACAGGAGGCTCCGGGGAGACACAGGGATGAACCAGAGCTGTGTGCTGGAAAGAGGTGTCTCAGCTCAGGGACTGCCATCAGGAGGAACCAGAGCTGTGTGCTGGAAAGCGGTGTCTCAGCGCAGGGACTGCCATCAGGAGGAACCAGAGCTGTGTGCTGGAAAGCAGTGTCTCAGCTCAGGGACTGCCATAAGATGTGCTGGGAACAGCCAGGATTGATGTGTGTCACCCCTCCAAAGATGCTGGAGATAGAGGTGGGAGCATTTAATCCTCCTGCTGTGGAGGTGTTGGGTTGTCCACCACTGCTGCTCAGTGCTGGGGCATGGGAGGAGAAAGTCCAGAAGAGCAGAAGAGCTTTTTCTATGGAATCAGCATTAGGTTCTTCCTGATTAAATCCAGACCTCTGTGCTGTTTGGCTGGAGCAAATCTCCTGGCTCGTTGTTTATGCACACACACATCTGATGGCATAACAGCTGATGCTCTGAGGGCCTTTGGGTGTTGGAATTCAGCTCTAATTTCAATTTATCTCATTAGGGAGCTGAAAGTTTTCAGCCATAAGGAGATGTGCAGCTACTTTTTAGCCTGGTGGATGAGCTAACTCATTTTCTCCTTCAAATCAGTTATTAAAGTGGTTATTAATTCATCTTTTCTGTTTTGATTACTTAAGCTTGCTTTCATTTTAATGGGAACATATTTAGGAGAGAGCTGTACCGAAATACTGAGCCAGTGCTAAAGCTGCCTGTAGTGGAACAAGTCTATTTTGTTGCACCAGGGACCTCACAGAAAAGGTGAATTTATTTGAAAGCTCAGCTTTGTGTATACACTTACCCTGGTCAGCAGCCTATGTAGGCAGGGAATGAGATTTTGGATGAACTTGTCAGCAGGTGAATTTCTTCTTCTCCATTATCTGAAATCCTCAGTCACTTTCCATGTAGCCTGATGCTGATGATAGATTTTCTATTCCAGAAGGTGAGTGTTTAAATTCCCTTATAAATCTTTGTATTACTGCTCCAGGAAATTAGACTTCCTGGCACTGTCAGGGTAATGACTTTAACTTAGTAGATTACAAAAGTGCCAGCAATTTGTCTTCAGCTAAAGGCAACATGGAGTGAAGGAGAGAGAAACTTCACTGGAGCTTTCCTCTGGCTTTGGGTTTGTAATTAAGATTGGCTGCTGTTTGCGTTTCACTGCCATTTAAATCTGCTTGCTTTAAATCTTTCCAAGATGACTCAAGCACTCACCTGCCTTCTCCAGCTCCCTTCAATCATTAATTTTGATTGTTGTGTTGTGAATAAGTGAGTAGAACTGATTGATTAATGGTGTCATCCAGACCCCTCCTGTGCCTGCTGGTGGAAATGGAGGGACTGGGGAGATCTGTGAGAGTGAGTACCATGTTCTTGTATTAACACCTTTTGAGTATTTTGTGCACGTTGTTG